TTCCAATTCCACTGGCATTGAATTGCTTCAATCTCAGCTGGTTCGCTTCCAATTTAGTTCCTTGCTTATGGCCTGGGAAGACAGCAGAGCATAGCCCAAAAGTTTAGGCCCTTGCCACCCCTGTAGGAGACCAAGACTAGACTCCTGGCCTCTACCTTGTGGTCACTCTGTAACTCCTACTTTCAAATAATAAATAGATCTTTAAGAAAAAAGAGAGAGAGAGAGAAACAGAGAGAGAGAGAGAGAGACACCCAAACAGGCCTGATCTAAAATTCCTGTTGTGTTCCATGTCATTGGCTAGGAGCAGCCTACAAGAAGTAAGACTCAGGCCCAGCGCGATAGCATAGTAGTTAAAGTCCTTGCCTTGCACACACCGGGATCCCATAGGGGTGCTGGTTCTAATCCTGGCATCTCCACTTCCCATCCAGCTTCCTGCTTGTGGCCTGGGAAAGCAGTGGAGGATGGCCCAAGGTCTTAGAACCCTGCACCCATGTGGGAGACCTGGAAGAGCTCCTGGCTCCTGGCTTTGGATTGACAGCTCTGCCCGTTGCAGTCACTTGGGGAGTGAATCATCAGATGGAAGATCTTCCTCTCTGTCTCTCCTGCTCTCTGCATATCTGACTTTGTAATGAAAAATAAATAAATCTTAAAAAAAAAAGAAGACTCAGGGTGAAGGGTAATGGATTTCATAGGTCAACAATTTGATTGTTGATGAGTTACAATTCCCTGAGTCAGAGATCTCGAAGGTACATTCTCATGGCCACACTCCTCCCAGTCTAGGGTTATACAGGGATGAAGAAGGATGATTCTATAATCTAAGAAAGAGAAAAGCAAAGGTAGAGAGCCATTACTATGAAAGGATAAGGAGTATTAATCAGGCAAAACAACAAATGTTGCTCCTTTTGGCCTGAAAGTTATACTGAACATGCACTTTTTTATTCTCTACCCTGTCAACAGCTTATCAATGACCAAGTCCTTTCAACTCCATGTTGGCTACATCACCTCGGCATTGGTATGCTCTTCCCTTTACCTCCTTGTGACTGATGCTATTGGTGCTCTCATCATGTCTTGCCTGAACTGTTGTGGAACTCCAGCTGGTCATTCTGTACCTTATTTCTGTCGTCCTCTCTTTTTCACATTGTCTCTGAATATAATTTTAATCATGTCACTCTCCTATGGAAACATTTTATACCACTGGTGGGATGTGAAATGGTGTAACTCCAATGGGGAGTTCTCCCAAATAATAACAAAAATAATAGTATAATAGTAAAAATAATAAATATAAAATTATAATATGGTTCAATAATTTCACTTCTAAGTATATACTTAGACAGCAGGGAGTCCAACATAAATTTGTGTATCAACTTATAGAAACAACTCAGAGTAGCCAAAGGTGGAAATATCTCAATTGCCCATTGACATTAGCAAGCAAAATGAGCTATCTATACAGTAGAATAGTATTTGGCCATAAAAGAAATGAAACTGTTGTTATGCCATAATCTTGATAAACCTCAAGATATTATACTCAGTGAAATAAGCTAGACACAAAAGAACACACATTGGGCCAGTGTTGTGGCATAACCAGTGAAGCTGTCATTTGTGACACCAGCATCCCACATGTGTGCCAGCTTGAGTCCCAGGTTCTTGGCATTTGGTTTGGCTTATTGCTAGTAGGTCCGAAGAAGGCAACAGAAAATGGCCCAAGTACTTCAACTCTTGCCATCCACAGGGGAGACCTGGATGTGGTCCTGGGTTCCTAGCTTCAGCATGGCTCTGCTCTCTGGTTGTTGCAGTCATATGGGGAGTTGAGCCTGTAAGTAGAGCTCCCTCTCTCTCACCCTCTTTCAAATAAATAAATCTTATCAAGTAAATTACATGATTTGTGTCGTTCTCCTACAAAGTAGCTAGAATAGTCAAACGCATAGATACAGAAGTAGAAAGGTGATTAGCAGAGGCAGGGCTGTGGGGAATGCAAAGTCAGTGTCCAATGCACCAAGAGTCTCACTAGGGAATGATGACAAATTCTGCTGTTGAATACACCTAATGGCACTGGACTGCAGACTTACAATGAATAAAATTGGAGTGGGTGCTGTGACACAGTGGGTTAAACTGCTGTTTGGGATGCTACTTCTCTCTTTTAATTAAGCTTCCTACTGCTAACGCATCCAGGATGCAGCTGTGAGGATATTGCTGATCCAACTGCCTGTGTTCTTGCCATCCACATGGAAAACCCGGAGGGAGTTCCTGGCTCCTGGTTTCAGTCTGGCCTGCGCTTAGCTATTGTGGACACTTGAGCAGTGAACCCAGTGGATTGAAGATTGTTTGCCTTTAAAGCAAACAAATCTCTCTAAAAATGATTAAAATTATTTAAAAACAAAAGCAAAGTAGCTTCCACAGCAGAAAACAAAACCCAGGAGGGTTAATTTGACCCTAACATATGTTGACCTAAGATTCTTTTGCCTTTCCCTCTAATTGTGATTTCCTTAACCTATTCCTTGTTTCCTCTGTTGGCTCTAGAGGCCACTTACATGGCATGCTCTTGCCTCTTTCCATTCATTTTTCAAGAATGAGTTGAACTGTCATGTCCTTGTAGATCTTTCCTTAACTCTACCTGTTATTTCATACCAAATGAAAATGATCTCTCTCTCTCTCTCTTTTTTTAACTCTAGCACCACATGAACTGTATCTGTCTTTGGCACCAACTGCTTTTATTTTAGATCAAAGAAGGAACACAGTGAGAGCAAGTGGTGTAGCTTAAGGAAGCCCAGCTGACCTTTTAAATCAGTTCCTCTACCATGCCATCAACTTAAGGAATTTATCATTCCAGAACCGATTATCAACCTCACAAATTCAGAATCCTGATTTTAACAGTGAACAGAAGTTATCTCTCAGGGCACTCTTACAATTGTTAAATTCACAGAAATTGAGTTGAAAGGCATAGTTATGGAGAGAGTAAGCCAGAAGCAGAGGCAGAGAACCGTCATTCTGTTGGCTACTTCCCAAATGACCACAATTACCACAGCTGGACCAGGCTGAGGCCAGGAACCAGGTATTTCTTTCTTTTTTTTTTTTTAAATTTTTAAATTTTTATTGGAAAGGCAGATATACAGAGAGGAGAGACAGAGAGGAAGATCTTCCGTCCGATGATTCATTCCCCAAGTGAGTGCAACGGCCGATGCTATGCCGGTCCGAAGCCAGGAGCCTCTTCCGGGTCTCCTGCGTGGGTGCAGGTTCCCAAAGCTTTTGGCCGTCCTCGACTGCTTTCCCAGGCCACAGGCAGGGAGCTGGAAGGGAAGCGGGGCTGCTGGGATTAGAACCGGCGCCCATACGGGATCCCAGGCGTGCAAGGCGAGGACTTTAACCACTTGTGCCACTGCGCCGGGCCCAGGAACCAGGTATTTCATCAGGATCTCTCATGTGGGTGCAGAGGCACAAGCACTTGGGTCGGCTTTGCTGCTTTCCAGGCACATTAGAGGGAGCCGGATAGGACATGGAACTCAAACCTGAACCCATATGGAATGTTGATGCCACAGGAAGCAGCTTTACACATTATGCCACGAGTCACTTACAATATGGACTTCTAATCTGCGTGATCAATGCTTGAGCACTATCTAGGCACTCCAACCTAGGCACTCTCATAGAGGATGCCTGGGTTGCCAGCAGTCTTAGCCACTGCATTTTTAAAAGATGTGTTTTTATTAGAAAGGCAGATTTACAGAGAAAAGGGGAGACAGAAAGATCTTCCAGCTATTGGCTGCACCAGCTAGAGATGAGCTGATCTGAAGCTAGGAACCTGGTCTTCCAACCAGGAGCAGGGTTCCAAGGCTTTGGGCCATTCTCCACGGCTTTCTCAAGGCACACACGAGAAGCTGAATAGGAAGTGGAGCACCTGGGACATGAACCAGCACCCATACGCGATGCTGATGTTTACAGGCAGAGGATTAGTTGAGACATAGTACCAGATACATTTTGAAAAATAATTAAAAATGTTCTTATATAAAAGAGAGGAGATACACATTTATGTTCCATCCACTGATTCAGTTCCTAAATGACCACAACATGCAAGGTTGGGCCAAGCCAAAGCCAGGAGCCAGGAACCTCAATCTGGTCTCACACTTGGGTGGCCCATCTTCCGTTGCTTTCCCAGGCACATCAGCGGGGAGCTGCATCTGAAGCAGAGCAGCCAGAACTAAAATGGTGGTATAAGGGATGCTGGCATCATCAGTGCTGGCTCATCCTGCTGAGCCACAACACTAGCCCCTCTGTTTTTACTGCGGAGAAGCCACGCAACACAACCCTGAAAAAGGTTCCAAGGTCATTTCTGACACTCAGGTTGACCATCACCTGGGGCAGTCCTAGTCCTAGGCTTGCTAGCTGATGTGCTTCCTATGGATAATTCCATTCAATACTCATTTGATAAACACAGCTACGGACTTCAAGGTTATATGGGCTTGGTTTTGTCACTCATGGGTTTTGATCAACCGACATGACCCTTTTGGGCTTCAGTTTTATCAACTGCAAAACAGAATTAACACGAAGGCTTTTTGGACTAAGTGGCTTGAGGAGATAAAAGACACAAATTGTGGATAAATGGATGTTCAGGATACTTGTAGCTGTGGTTTCCAATCATCCTTGATGAACACTCTTTTTTTAATCCTTGGCTCAAATGAGAAAACAACAAGGTACTGTCCTTTACTCTGGAGTGCATCACTTAACAGCTTGGCATTCAGCATCCTCATGTTATGAATTCTTGTTGCTGGTCGCTAACTTTTACGGCGTGCGGAATCCCAGCTGCCCTTCTCCTCAGATAACAACACCGGCCTACATTTTCCTTAAAATTCAAAGGTATGAGCACCACAGCAGAGACCCACAATTTCAGAACGCCACGGTCGCAAAGGCAGGATCCGTACACATCTCAGCTCCCATGCCGCTCCTCGCTGGCAGCCTTCCGAATTCTCGCGAGATTTGAGACAACTCAGCTTCTGCGCACTAGAAGCTACAGGGAACCCTGGCGCCAAGGGAGGGGGAAGGGAGGGGGAGACGGTACAAACGGCGTGGCCGCCATCTTGTTTGTGCCCCCGCTTCGCGCGCGCTCCGTTCTCCGTGACGCACGCTTCCCCCTCCCCTCCGCTCTGCCCGGGCCTCTGCACTGCCCGACGCCTCAGGAGCGCGGGGGCGGCTCCTGCTTCTTCCCGGGACTTGTGAACGAGAGGCGTGTGAGTGTGCGGGAGCTTTGGGTGGGCAGGCGGGAGGCGGGGGAGGCGGCCGCGGGGGGAGGGGCGGCGCCTCCCGCCTTGGGCGGAGGGCCTCCCTGCCCTCGCACTGCCACAGCGCGGCGGGCGTTCGGTCCGGCCCGCCCGCCGCCATGTTGTGTTGCCACCGGGCTCGCCGCCGTCGCCGCCGAGCTCGTGGAGTCCGTGCGGCTGGTCGGCCCGGCCCTCGGGCTTTCTCCCATTGGCGGAAGGCGACGGCGGGGGGGCTCGCTCGTGATTGGTCGGTGGCGGGCAGGCCGCGGACCTGGCACCTTATTGGTCGCGCCGGCTCCGGCCTCGGGGGTGATGGAGGAATCGGAGGCTGCAGGGCCGCGCGCCTCTCGGCCTTGGGAGCCGGGGGCGGTGACCCCCACTGTGGCGCAGGCGTGGGGTGGAGGCTGCGGGCGAGCATGGGGCCCTGTCAGGGGAGGGAGAGAGGAAGGCTGGGGGGGGGGTGTGTGGCATGACCTGGGATTGGCATGGGGCGGGAGGATCTCCTGATTTCAGAGGGGTCCTTCCGGCTGCAGGAGAACCCAGGATGGGGTGCGGGTAGAGCCCTTAAGGGACCCAGCCTTGGGACACCATAAACTCCCCGTGAGTGTCATTAAGATCCATGGGTTGTGGACTTGGAGTATAACCCAGTTTGAGAGTGACCTTGCGGTCCCTGGGACTGAGTTCATCATACTGGAAGGGCATCGGGGCTTGTAAACACATATTCAGTCGTTGGAATCCTATCATGGATCCTGCTGGAGAGAGTGTTTTTCGATTAAGGTCTGGAAGCCAAAGTTGCTGGGCCTGGGATGTATTGGGAGGAGCAGGTGGAGCTGTGTCCTGGATAAATGTGCCAGGTCTTGGAGGCATAGCCTAAGTAATGTCACATCTAAGATAGAGAAAAATACCGAAAGCATCTTTGGGAACGCGTTCAGATTTGCGAAGTATATTAAGAAAGCAATTATAGATTTCTGGATCCCAGACATGCAGCTGTTCGGAAATGATTGTGTATGAAATGATTTACTCTGATCCATACACTTCAAGGGCTGAGTTTTCGAGGTTACATTTCTGGCAGACATGAAAACTTGGCAGCTACATATTGAGTGGATGTTGTTGCATTGCCTTTTTTTTTTTTTAAAGATTTATTTTATTATTTTTATTGGAAAGGCGGATATACAGAGAGGAGAGACAGAGAGGAAGATCTTGTGTCCAATGATTCACTCCCCAAGTGAGCACAATGGCTGGTACTGTGCCGATCCAAAGCCAGGAGCCTCTTCCGGGTCTCCCACATGGGTGCAGGGTCCCAAAGCTTTGGGCCGTCCTCGACTGCTTTCCCGGGCCACAGGCAGGGAGCTGGATGGAAAGTGGAGCTGCCGGGATTAGAGCCGGCGCCCATATGGGATCCTGGGCGTGCAAGGTGAGGACCTTAAGCACTGCGCCACCACGCCGGTCCCTGCATTGTTTTTTAAGAGGAAAAGAGCTGACTAGAAATTCTGGAGTTTGACTCATTCATTTCCTTTTATCTGTGTCTTAAAAATTAACTTGGGGCCATGCCCTGGTGTAGTATGTTAAACCTCTACCTGCTGTACAGGTATCCCATAAGGATGCCATTTGGAGGAATGGCTTCCTGCACTTCCAGTCCAGCTCCCTGCTAATGTGTCTGGAAAAGCAGAGGAAGATGGCCCAAGTCCTTGAGCCCCGCACCTACGAGGGAGGCTCAGAAGAAGCTTTGGGCTCCTGATTTCAGATCAGCTCAGCTCTGGCTGTTGTAGTGTTTTGGGGAGTGAACCAGCAGATGGAAGAGTCTCTCTCTTGCTCTCAATAAATGTGCCTCTCAAATAAAAATAAATGTTACAAAAAACCCCAAAACTAAATATATTTTCGAAAATGCACTGATGTTAATATGTACCTTCCCCCCCAGTAAGCAGCTACAAATGAAACTAAATCAATGTGCAGCTTCTTGCCTCTCCTTAAGTAACAAGACTTACCAGCACTTTCTGGTTCATATTTCAAAAGGCTTTGGTCTAATGTGTAGTTATTAGAGTCTGCTTGAGGCAGGTGCATTCCAGTTCTCCTAGATGTAGTGACTTGTATTGCTTCCCATCTTGCTTCTTCCAGTTTGGGAACTTTGGAAACCCAAGTAGGTCATTTCTATATGTTAAGAACATCATGTGAGGCCTACCTTGTGGCACAGCACATTAAGCTGCTGCGACACTGACATTCTGTTTCGGGGTGCCACTTCAGTCTCAACCACTATGCTGCCTATCCAGCTTCCAGTTAATGGCCTGCAAGATGGCCCAAATACTTGTACTCTTGCTGTCCCTGTGGGAGACCGGGAAGGAGCTCCTGGCTCTTGGCTCCAGCCTGTCCTAAGCCCCATTCTCTCACTCGGTCACCCTCTTCTCATTGTTTCTCGGTCACTCTACATCTCAGGTAAATCTTTTCTAAAGGAAGTATATTAATGGGTGAATATGATTAATAAGAATTTGTTGTATTATTTCAGGGTTTTAGATCACCAAATTCTAATTATATACACTATTGATTCTTCAGGCAGGTATTTAAATCATACCCTCTTGGTTTCTGTTGTTGAGAGGGAAGATTTACAAAATAGAATGCTAAAGTTTTTCTGAATTCAGGAAGTAATGGGAAAATATGTACAGAAATATTGAGTGTACATTCTTCAGCATATTGCTGAGATAGTCTTTCAGTATGTATAAATAATTTAGGCTACACAGTGCATAACTAAGTATATAGTGTAAAGGCTGCACAATGAGAAACTCATAGTGTAAAGAGCTCATCCGGGGATTTCTTCAGGCGTCACCAGTTCCTTAGGATTTACCCAACAGTCTAGAAAACTGTGATACTGATTCTGGAATGTGTCTATACTCAATGATGTGTAGATGACAAAGTATTTGCAACTTCAGTTTTGCACGGACAACTCTAGAATTGTGGAGAGACAAGTGAATTGGAAGTCTTAATTATTTGTGTCTGGGTGTGATTAGATGAAGTCCCACACCCTCTTTATTTGCAATAACATTGCAGTGGGGAAGGTAGAGGCAAGGCTACAGGTGAAAAATAGGGCTTGCTCTATGTTTTGTACATTGATTAGACCAGATCCCTTGGGTTCAGTTGTAAACCAAATATAAAGAATGTTATAACACCTGTTGCTTAGTTTCTTTAAGCAGAGCACCTGAGTGCCTATGATGGCCAGGAGTGAAGCCAAAAAACCAAGCTACGGGAACTAGATCCGGTTCTCTTACCTGGGATTCAGGAACTCAATTACTTTTTTTTTTTTTTTAATAAATCCCTTTTTTTTAAAAGATTTATTTTTATTATTTTTTTCATTGGAGAGGCGGATATACAGAAAGGAGAGACAGAGAGGAAGATCTTCCGTCCGATGATTCACTCCCCAAGTGAGTGCAACGGCTGATGCTATGCCGATCCAAAGCCAAGAGCCTCTTCTGGGTCTCCTACGCGGGTGCTTTCCCAGGCCACAGGCAGGGAGCTGGAAGGGAAGCGGGGCTGCTGGGATTAGAACCAGCGCCCATATGGGATCCTGGGCGTGCAAGGCGAGGACCTTAACCACTTGCGCCACTGCGCCGGGCCCAGGGACTCAATTACTTGAGCCATCATCTGCTGCCTCCTAGGGCCTGCATTGTCAGGGAGTTGGAACTGGGAATTAGAGCAGCTGTCTTAACCCAGGTTCTTTTTTATTAAGTCCAGAAAAGGTCACAAAAACAAGCACATATGAATGTATACATGCTTTTTATTCACCAAATATTATTACTTGTGCAGCTTGCTCTTCAGCATCTGTGGCTACTTGTTATGTGTGTTGTGTCTTGATATTGCCCGGACTTGACCACCCTAGAAAGCCTGAGCTCTTTGGAAGTTTGGGTTTTTGTTAAAAACTTGTGAACTCCAACTTTGTTTTCTGAGCAGAAATTATACTAATTCTGTATGGGTATGTCCATGTCACCTTATTTTTAGACTTTTATATCAACTATTTCATTGAAGCTTACATATTTTTCGTGTGGTCAAAACTGATTCATAGAAGATTTGAAATACATTTATCCTCATTTTATTTGCAGAGAAGTGGAAGCAAAGTGAAAAGAAGGGCCATGCTAGATGTCATTTTAAACAATTTTGAAATTATGAATTTCTTTTGGCTTGGAGATCTTAAGCCACTAAGGATCAATGAATTCAACTTAGAGAAAAAATATAGTTACTGCCTTTTATTGGATGCTTACACTATACCAGCCAAGATGCAGATGTATTTCATATATTATCCTCACATGGCATGAGGTAGATATTATTGCCACCCTCAGTGTGAGAAAACCAAACAGTTAAGTAATTTCATGGAGCTCTCACAGGCAGAAAGTGAGAAGACCAAGATTTCATACACAGGTTTGTAGCTCTTTAATTCCTACATAATTTGTTGAGTCCTTGCTCTTAAACACTGTCTTATCTTGACAAAATGGAATATTGTGGAGAAAGGAAAATCCTTGCATCTTTGCTCAAGAAGTAACTTTCAGGTCTTTTAGGAACGTCCTTGAGAATGTCCTATAGCTGTACAAATACAGAGCCAAGTCTAGCAGATGCATTCACTGGACAGCTTTGTCTCTCGCGGAAACATGCATTTGATGCACTTTAAGTGACAAGTTTCCTTCATTCTCAGAAGGGAGAAGGCAGAGGACATTGTTAGGGTGAGAGATGACCTTCCAGTTTATTTCAGCCTCAGGCATACAACCTTTAGAGAACATTTCTTAGCCAGCAAGTTGTTCTTTTCCATTCCCTTTCTTGGAGGAAATTGATTGTGAATTGTCTGATGTCTTACAGTCTCTTTTTTCATTTTGTTTATTCAGTTTTTCATGCGGGTACTGTGACAAACTAGGAATGTTAGAGATCATTTTCATGTTTTTCCCACAGAGACTGAAAGCACCCCACATAATTTAAGGAGGAGGAAGTGGATTTTA